TTTCACATTCACGATTTTGGTCATTCATGAGTTTGCCGTGAACAATTACACAGGAATATTTTTGCTGAAAGATCGCAGAAACTCAGACAATGCCTAAGACTAAAACAATACTGAAAATGATTTGGGTTGTATATATAATATATAAATATTTGTAATACGTAATATTTGTTAGTGTAAGCGCATACGAAAAGTCTTGGCTTGGGTACGCCACACATCTTTGTCTCGGTAATCAGTCTCACTCACGTTTCTCTCAGTAACTTTTAAACTTTTCATTTATGTTAATTTTACATTTTCAATAATGAGTCCAAATAATGAGTGCTCCCAGTGCATACAGAGTAACTTTGTTGACACATGGCCATTATTTAGATGATTTGCATATTATATAAAAATGTTAAAGAAATTTGACATCTAAAGTGGTAACAAATAGACTTTTATGTTATCGTTCAGGCTAACAGACTGTTATGAGTAGCAGTTAGGGGTGCCTCTATTGCATTGATTAGCTATACAATGTATGCTCGTGGTCAAGTACAAAAATTCATGAATGTATTGTATGGTTGCTGGAAATAATGGGGTGATTTTAGTAGAGGTTTTGCAATGGCTAGGCTAGTACACTTTGACAGGCATAATATCATAGTTTTACACCAACATAAAGATCATTTAAACATAAATTTCTTTGGCTGCCTAATATATATAGTATAATGAAAGTATTATTCATAAATTGTCACATCAGCACTTCTTTACACAGCGTGTAGTCAGAGTATGGAATAGTCTTCCTGATAACGTAGTGCAAGCTGAATCCTTGGGTTCCTTTAAATCAGAGCTAGAAAAGATATTAAGAACTCTGAGCTATTAGTTAAGTTCTCCCCAAGTGAGCTTGATGGGCCGAATGGCCTCCTCTCGTTTGTATAGTTCTTATGTTCTTATGTTCTAAATATTTTATGGGTTCCACTGAAATAAAGGTAGCTGATTATGAGAAAGATCTTGGTGTGTATGTTGATGCTTCCATGTCCCACTCTCACCAGTGTGAGGATGGAATTAAGAAGGTCAATAGAACGTTGCATTACATCTTTAGGTGGGTGGAGTCAAAGGAGGTAATGTCAAAACTAAGATCTTATAAAAATCTTTTCATAAAAGGAGATCAATGAAGATAACAGCCTTAAAGTTCTTTTCTACCTTGCCGTTTTAAGATGATGTGAGGGGGATATAGGGCTGTCAAAGGAACAAACAGGCACACTTGGGTTCGCTTCTAAAAATGCTTTATTACAA